AGCAGCTGAAGGCTATTTTCATACAATAAATGGATGTGTTGCAGAAGATGAAGCCACCATATGGTGTGGCGGTGGGAACGGGCCGCGTTGCTGCAGAAGGTTGGGGACAGATATGGAGAGTTAATGGGACTCAGGTGCTGCTCCACGTCTCATCAGGCCGCCCCTCACCTCTCACCGTCTCCTGACCGTCAACCTCACTCGGCCCTGTCGCCGCGCACATCCATCTTTTCTTGTTTCCGCGGCTTCCCTGCTGATGTTTGTGAATGCAATGATCTCCTCTTTGTTTTCGCGGCGGTAAAATATAGAAATCGACTCGCATGGGGCCCTTGATCCTTATAATGCTCTCATCAGGATCACAGTTAGAACATCGGATCGTCATTAGCTGCTTCTTATATAGTTTTCTTCAAAGTCTTTTTTGTTCACGCAGGTTCCTGTGGCAGTACAGCAAAACAAGAAACATCCCAGGGCAACAACCGACGGTGTGGAGAGAAACTCTCCGCGAATCCTACCGACTGTTTTCCTCAGAGACAAACTCGGGTTTGATTTTTTTTTTCTATCCTCCCCGCAGAGACGTAAACAAGAAACGAGCCCAATCATTATCATCACGTGAGTGACATGTTTTGCAACGTGCACGTAAACACTTAAGACTTTTAAAAAAATCCACACAATCCTGGTATTAAGGAGTCCTTTAACTTTAACACTCCGCTCCGCAAATTGTATGAATATTTAAAATCACAGCTGGAATCGAGCAAAGCTTAAAAAGCTGTAACAAATATAATTCCCCGCTCGAGCATAACAATGAGGATGTGTGTTTTTCCTCCACATTCATCAGCCTCCTGCTGATCTCCGCTCTCAGATAGCGTTAGATGCCCTGTCAGGTCCTCCTCTCCTGCTGCTAATGGGACAACCTCCTCCTCCACGCCCCGCCTGAGCGGAGGAGTTTTGTAACTTTCAGGAAGGAGATAAGTTAATCACAAGCGGGAGAAACTAACAACAGAAAAACAAGCTAAATGTCACAGTGAGTGTTTGTTTTTGTCGTTGCCTAAGTCGAAATCCATCTACAGTTATTTGGGGTCGGAAGTAGACAGTCCAAAAAATGGCTAAAAGTTAGCTAGAATTAGCAATAGCATTGCGTAAAAATGTACTGGAAATGATCCAAAATGTCACTTAAACTTCTTTCAAGTCGCCAAAAAAAGAAAAAAAAATCATCTATTAAAAACAGAATTTCCTCCAGTGTGTAGTGTTTGATGAAACACAAAGCCCAGATCAACACCTCAGGTTGTACGAACCACCGCTCTGCACAGTTCTGACATGGACCCCAGGGGGCACCAGCTCTGAAACCATGTCAAATCCTGCCTGCAGCAACTTCACAAAAACATTAAGGCGGCCGGTGAAATCCAGCAGACTCCTCTTTATGATTCTCTAAAGCCTCTGGTTTGAATTAGCATTAGCTAAAACCCCAGCAAAAATCCCAAAGTCACTGGTGACTGTCAACGCTGGTTAAACGTGTTAAATACATTTTCTTTATTGTTATTATATTAAGCCAAAATGGTGAAGGTAAAAGTGGACGTTTTATTAGGATTTCATACAATTAGCCCCTGCAGCGTCGGTCTTCAGCCCAGACTTAATTCAAAGCCACAGCTTTTTCCATCAACAAGGACGGATCAGAGTCGTGGTTCCCATGAGATTTTTCCTCCATCTGTCCCAGGACAAGTTAATTAAAAGGGAAATGAAATTTAAAAAAAAATCCAATTAAAACTTAGATCAATACTTTTGTCCAGGTTAGTCTTTGTTGTAAAATAGTGTTTAAAAAAAGAACACCAATGAATCTGGCACTGGTTTAAACACGGCGCTGTTGTTTAATCACACAACCTACTGTCGGAGGGAGAACAAACCAGAATATATTTTCTCATATTTTCAAAAGAAGAAAAAGGGTCTGATAAAAATGAAGGCGCTGTTTGTCTTTCTCCTTAGGAAGGAGTTCTTGTTGCGTAGTAACTTCTAATGATAAAAACAAAAAGATGTTTTTGAACCAAAGTCTCTCATTGGTCCCACACTAGGGTAATTCGTTTCAAATGTAATGCATCAACTCTTTGTCATTCATGTAACCGAGTGTTTGAACAGCAAATTCGTATACTTTTTTCATTGCTGATACTATAATAACTGCACATTTGGTATGAATATAATGGACTGGGCATTCAACAAAGAGTTGTCTGAATACAAAGTAACTTATTGTCAGTTGTTCAAAATGTACAGGGGGCACCCAGACTTGAACTGGGGACCTCTTGATCTGCAGTCAAATGCTCTACCACTGAGCTATACCCCCTGATGGCAACGCTGATGAGTAGAGTGAATATATAATACACTTGATTCCTTTTAGTGTTTAGTTTTCCTGAGTTCCTGCAGCTTCAGAACTGACCTCATGTTAACAAGAATTTAAAGCTTCTCACCAGTGCTGCCCCCCCCCCCTTCAGGAGGTTTATTACATTTACCAGCATGAGTGGAAGAAATGTTGTTTTGGCTCAGTTTGTAAAAGAGGAGAGAAACCATACTTAAGAACAGTGAGAGAGCAGGACATCCATTTTCTACTTTATGGCCTCAAACCATTTGTCTGGAGCCGGGCTGAAGTTTTCGCTCTGCTGTACTCTGAAAAAAATGTAGACTATATCTCACCCAGAGAAAATCCACATTAACAATATCAATTGCAGAGTTGGATGTATAAGTTCTCCGTTTCCATCCGCTCTCGCCACTAAATGTCAGTCCGCTGGAGATGCATAGCGCCGTGTTTGTGTTCTGCTGCTGGTGTTTTGTTCCTCCCATGTCTCCTTAAACCTTCTCCCACAGCCATCTTTCACAGTTTTTCACAGCACTACATTTATGCTGCCGGCGTTTTTCTGCAGGTCTGCTGAAACTTCCAGAAAGTACAGACCATGAAAAAGTTGTTTGGTTATTTACTCACGTGGGCCTAGAAAATGTTTGGGGTCCTGTAGATGTCGATAATTTAAAATAAATAAATAAATTAAAAAAACAGGCTCAGGGTCACTTGGAATTGGTGGATTTTGAAATGAGTGTGATATTGATCAGAACTGGCTCTGATTTGGTATCATCAAGGATTTCAACCAATGAGAGCCTTCGGAGTGAGCACAAGACTGCTCAAGAGCTCACATGAACCAGAGAAGTAAAGAACCAGCAACAGCAATGGATAGAAGTAACACATTTTCATTGAACATTTTCATTTCAAATCTGAAATATTGAATGTTTCCAACCACTGAGGCAATACACAGTATTTTAAAATGAGATGAGATGAGATTAGATTAGATGAGACAAAATGAGATTAGATTAGATGAGTCAAGATGAGATGAGATGAGACAAAATGAGATTAGATTAGATTAGATAAAACAAGATGAGATGAGATTAGATGAGACAAACTGAGATTAGATGAGATCAAATGTGACAAAATGAGATTAGATGAGACAAACTGAGATTAGATGAGATCAAATGTGACCAAATGAGATTAGATGAGACAAACTGAGATTAGATTAGATCAAATGAGACAAAATGAGATTAGATTAGATTAGACAAGAGAAAACGAGATTAAATTAGATTAGATAGATGAGATGAGAGGAGATTATTTTAGATTAGATAGATGTGATGCGATGAGTTAAGGGGAGATCGATGAGAAAAGGTTGGTCAGATGAGATAGATGTGGTGAGGTGAGATTAAATAAATTGTACTTTTTTTGTCATCGTACATACGAGTACCTTTGCATTACTAAACCAAATTGGTTTGCTGACCAGATGGGAAATAGAAAGACAACGGAGAATTACCGTTTTATTTTAAAGATAAAATAAAATTTAAGACCACAGATATTTACACGACTAAATATACACAGTGCAGATATCAGAAGAGCAGCCGTATAAATAATTGCAGTTGGAATCATTTAAATTAGCAGTAAACAACACACAACACTCTTCTTAAAATCCTTATTTTGAATCATTTAATTAAAAAATGTGATCATCGCACTGCACTGTATCATCCACATCGTTTGAAAATGAAAAGCTGGAACCTGTGTATTATAGTGATGTCTCACTGCAACTAACTGTTTCATAACACACCGGTCCTGGACAATATGAGGCTGTTAAAAGCAGATCTGCATAGAATCATTATTTAAAGGCGCAGTTCAAAGAGGTTTGCTTTTGCTCTACCCATTATTTTCACAAATTGAAATGGATACAGGAGCGTCTACAAGAACGAGCGTCGTCTGAATGTGAAAATCTGAGCGCGTACAAGTGTCTTTCTCGCTCATTGACTAATATTTACATGTGAACCTGCAGCTGGCCAGAGGAGAATAAATTAACCTGTGAATGAAACATCATTCATTCGGGGCCCGAGTGCTCAGCTCCAGTGGAATTACCATATATCCCTGTGTAATTTTAAAATAATTTGAATTTAAATAGCAAAGGGCTGAATAATAAACAAGTAATGAGAGGTAAAATTGGTCATCTGTTCTCATCTTTCACTATCAGCTTCATCAGCAGGCATGGCTGCTCCCATTCATTTCCAAACAATCATCTGTAGAGGTCAGCCTCCGCCCTCCCCCCCCCCGTCCCTGCAGTTAATTCCTGCTCATACTGAATGCTTCAGTTCATACTGTGTTACTCATCACTCTGGTGGCACTGATGCCGAGCAGGAGCCTTATTAATGTATTCATGTGCGCAACAGCTCAGGCTGATGAGGCTTAATGTAGTTGTGTTTTTGAACAACGTATAAAAGAGCAACGCCGATGGTTCCTTTACTTGAATTAGTAATAACACAATTAGATTTTACAATTAGAAAACAACCTGATTATCAAGCAGAATATAAATGTTAAGATCTCAAGGAGATAGAAAATGTAACTAAGACATTGGATAGTTGATGGAAAGTCAAAGTTAAAAGTAAGCAAAATAATTCAGTGTTAGCTAGCTAGTTAACAAATTCGGTCAGAATTATTCAGGCAAATGTAAAAAAAAGTAAAAAGTAAATAAAGTTAGCACAGCAATATCTAATGGTTAACCAAAAAAGTAAGCAAACCTTATGGGGAAAATCGCTAGACTGAGCTTAGATAGAACTTGTTTTAATATATCTAATCGATCAGATTAATGGTTAGCACTGTGGACTCTGATTCCAGTAATGTGAGTTTAAATCTCAGAAGAACCTGTTAATGTTGAAAACTTTGTAACCTGAAGGCTTTTAGTTCACTTTGAGAAGTTAAAAATAGATAATGGGTAATTATATATATATATATGTATATATATATATATATATACATATATAAAGTTAAGCAGCTTAATGTGGATCAATGGAATACGTAAACAAAATGTATTATTTTAAATGTTTCATTATTCATCTCTGCTATCAGAGACAACAGCAGTGTGCCAGGCTACAGTATCTCCCCCTAACATTCATCATATTGGATGTGACTCTTATGTATTAGCTTTCCACATTTCTAGACGGCTGGATGAGCAAATTAGCAGCAAAGGCAGTTAAATGATTTTTCTGTAGCGAACAAGTACCAAACTGAGTGTGGAAGATAAACGCTGTGGGCAGAACAATAACTTCAGAGAAAGAAAGAAAAAAATATTAAACACGCATTGGGCTCTTGAGGAAAATCAAATTGATGGTTCTTGCATGGGTTTACATAACACTAAACCATGATGCTACTGTGTTTAGTTTGCAGAGATTAAATAGTACATGTCAGCGGCATCGCCGGTGGATTCAGATGGAAGGCTCAGTTATGCCTCAACGCTGCCACCTTTTGTATAAACCCATAATGGCAGCCTTATATTTCTGTTCAGTCTGATCATATGAGACACTGGGAGTGTAACACTTTAATGGTTCTCACCAAAACTTAAACAATATTGCATTTATACATTACTGTAGTACATATAGTACATCATCCACTCTGTGGCTTTTTATACATACCAGCAAGGAAGTATCTTTCTGAAGAGTCTTTTCTACTGGCGTTTGGTTTTAGAGGTCGAACGCTACCAAACACACTTGAGAGCTTCTCCTGGAGTCTCTGGGCGTAGATCCCATCCCAGTATTTACACAGCAGAGAGCCGCCAGGTTTCAGAATCGCCTCTGACAACTCTAACAAAGACAAACACATCGTGATGAGCTTCTCATGGTCCATCTCTCTAAATCCGCTGGCATTCGGTGCCATGTCGCTCAGGATGACGTCAGCCTGGCCGTTTGGAAGCAAGTTCTGTAGCTTTTTGTGTGTTGAGGGTGCAGTGACGTCATGACAGGATAGGAAGTTGGCACCGTCTAGAGATGCGATGTGCTGGAGGTCAATGCCAATGACTGTGCCACGTAAAAGGTCTGGGTCTTTGATGAAACAGAAATGTTTATTTTTAGTTTTTTTTTTTTTTCAATAATTTAATAATTTATTAAGACAATTTTGTTATTATATTAATAGTTAATGTTATTTTCAAGAACAATTTTGACTATTTGTCTGCGCATCTAGTTACTTTTAGTAACATATATATTTAAATACTATAGTCACAAGTGCCTGTTCAAAAACGCTGGTCAAACCAGGTTTAGATGCTACATCTGTTATACCAGGTGTCGCCTCTGTCTCACCTGTCCCCGCTGAGTTGACCCTTTGTACGGCCACCTGACTCCAGGCTCCAGGTGCAGCTCCACAATCCACCACGTTGTCACCGGCATGTAAGAGCCTGAATTTGTCGTCAATTTCTATCAATTTAAAGCCACTTCTGCACCGGAAGTTGAGTTCGCGTGAAGCTTTGACGTATGGGTCTTTTACCTGCCGCGCCAACCACCGCTGCTCCGCTACTGTTTTCCCTTTTAATTTTTTGGCTAAGCACCGAGATGAAAAGTGAATATTTTTAACACACTGACGCCAAGGGTACCACATTGTTTACTAGTGTGTACTTAGGTCACACGGGACTTTCTATTGGTCTGAATGAGTACTATCGTTGAAGGCGTCCGTACTGCAACTGTTGACATAGGTTAAATAGTTCCTACATGTTGTACAGGCGTCAGTGTTTTATTTTGTATTAAATAATGTTTTGGTCTGAATGAGTACTATCGTTGAAGGCGTCCGTACTGCAACTGTTGACATAGGTTAAATAGTTCCTACATGTTGTACAGGCGTCAGTGTTTTATTTTGTATTAAATAATGTTTTTAAATTCAAACTATGAGAAGATTATTTGAATAAAATAAGATGTTATATTAAGCATTAAATGTTTTTTTTACAGTTATGAAGGGGGGAAAGATAAATCAATGTCCTTATCTAGACTGCAATTCCATATTGGAATCTAAATTTATTTAACTTTATTAACTTTAGGGAAAAAAAGTCTTGTGGATATTTGTCTTTTTTTTACAGTTATGAAGGGGGGAAAGATAAATCAATGTCCTTATCTAGACTGCAATTCCATATTGGAATCTAAATTTATTTAACTTTATTAACTTTAGGGGAAAAAAGTGGATATTTGTCTTTTTTTTACAGATTAGTGTACCTATATGTTTTTGAATATTTCAAATATAAAATAAAAAAATATGTACCGTATACGTGGTTAAAATTCAATTGTTTCCAGACGGGTGTATTTTAGTGTAACACATTGATTCGATTCCTCAAACATATGAAGGCGCTCGCTCTAATTCATGTCTGTTGTTTATACACCCTCCAATCGCTTATGTATCAGCGCAACGGGAGATGACGTCAGTAGACTCCACATGACGATGTTTGCCGGGTTCGCGTGTGATTTATTAGAAAGTTAGCATATTGTTTGTCTCACTGACGTTCTTCTCCACACAGCTAAGATGTTGAGTTCCAAACTATTGACTCTGGTGCTAGTGGTCCAGCCGGGCAGAGTTCTGCTGGGTATGAAGAAGAGAGGGTTCGGGGCAGGAAGGTGGAACGGGTTTGGAGGCAAAGTCCAACCCGGAGAAACCATAGAAGAGGCTGCAAGGAGGTACATTCATTTGTATTTACGTTTACGACATTTAATTATAATTGTTTTTGTTTTACGTTTCAACTTTGAGGATCCTTTGTAAAGAACAAAAATCATAACTAGTTTGCAGTGGTGCCCCAAAAAGGGCACTGGCCACCCCACTGGCCACCCCGGAGCTCCTGCCCCCATTTTTTTTTTTTTCTGTAAGCTTGACTTATGATTTTTGTTGATTATTTTGGTCACCTTGTGCATCTTTTCATTTTCAGAGAGCTGCTAGAAGAGAGTGGTCTCACAGTCAACACTCTTGAAAAGATTGGAAATCTCAAATTTGAGATGGTCGATGATAAGGAGCTGCTTGACGTGCACGTTTTCAGAACCGATTCTTACAACGGAGAACCCACCGAGTCTGAAGGTAGGATGGTATGGTGGTGGGCAGAGCCTTTTTCTGACAGCTTGTTAAATACAGGTCCTCAGAGGACACAGACACGTCCTTGCAAACCAGTAATTTATGGTTTTTCTTAGTATTTCTATAGGCCAGGCCATAGCCTGTTGTCAGTACGAGTCCAGTACTGGTACTGACACGTACTGTTTCTAACAATACCTCTACCCTGATTTTTGCTTTTCTAATTTATTAAAATGTGTACTTTGTATGACTGCACAACAAATACTCTGCTTCCCTGTAGAAAGAAAATACTTGATATGACTTAAGTAATAGAGCTTATAGCTGAGTTCTGATTGGTCAGGAACCTAACATCACTGTTTATTTAAAATAAAAATTAATGTACATTGTGCAAAACAAAAATTTGAGTCATAAAATTATATGTGTTTATACATGTATAAACATATAAAGCTATCACTATATATGTATATATATATTTCTTTGCAGGGTCTTGTGTGGGGGAAAGGAAGAGTGAAAAATAACCTTGTCGTATTACAACATATAGCTCAACCTCTGAGACGTGAACTCATTGTGACCTTGTGTTTCCACCAGAAATGCGGCCGCAGTGGTTTGGTTGGGACCAAATCCCTTTTAGCCAGATGTGGCCCGATGACATCCTGTGGTTCCCCATGATGCTGCAGAAGAAGAAGTTTGTGGGATACTTTAAGTTTCAGGATCACAACGTGATTCTCAGCTCTACGCTGAAGGAGGTGGAAGAGCTCTGAGATAAAAACCTGAGTGAGGCCGACATGATGAAGACATCGAGTCAACGTTCTTTGCTAATATTTAGTTAATGGGCGATCTCCTGCGGAACCTGTAGACAGACTGATGACTTTTAAGCCAAATCTGTACCACATATTGTTAATGGACCAAAAACAAAATTCTTAAAATGTGTTATGAACTTGTTTTGTGTTTTTTGTTCTCTGCAGGACCTTGTAGTTTGCATGCCAACGGCAAACAACATAGTTTCATTGCTGTCTTTCACTGATGTGTGGTGGGATGGACCAAAGGTCAAGCTGTATTTGACCCCCCCTCAGTGACCCTGCTGGATTATGTATGAACAACTTGAAACTTTTTTTATCTCTTGAATTTTTTTTTTCTTAATTGGATACACAATTTAAAAGTACACATAAGAAGCATTTTTTTTTTTTCAGGATAAAAAATGACAACATTCAGCAAGCAAGTATTTTAATAAAATATTAGTGTACATAAAAATGTGTTTTTAGCAAGTTCCTCTTTATTACAACTCAAAATGACTCTGTCCTGATTGAAATATATATAAAAATCTGTGAACAAAATCTTTTTTTTGTTTCTTCCAGTGACCTCATTCACACTCCCATTAAACACATTCCTCTCTTTCTTTTTCTTTTTTAAATAAATTCCCTTTGATTGTTATGAATAGACGTGTTGTGCACTTGAAAACATTACATCAGGGTTTGATGCAAGGCTTCACTTGTGTTGAATTTATTTGAAGCAGTGTGCATTTTTAAAATAAGATTAGTCCTCTAGAGTGGATCTGATATCTGTTAGTACGCAAACATACTTCAAATCAGAAAAAAGTGAAATCTTGTGTAGTGTGCCACAGCTACAGCTCATTTGTTAAGAAGCAGCTGATAGACAAAAATGGAGGTGCAAACAGTGATAACGTCCGGTATTGTTTGTGAAAATAAAGTTTTCTCACTCTTTTTTATAATAGACTCTTATAGACAAGTTCATTTTTAGCGATGTGATAAAAAAAAAAAAAAAACAGCTTTACATTGAGAGACAAGGAAAGTCCCACATTTCTGTCCCTCAATTTTCATGGTGCTTGATATGTAAAAGAAGACAAACTCCTCATCGCTCGGATCTGAGCATCCGTCTTCCGAATCACACTGCGATGAACGATCGATCTTAAACCTTAACGTGCTTAATTCTTCGGAGTGTAATATGTAATGTGTAATGAAAAAATACCCTTTGTATGTGCTTTGTGTGTCTATACATACATATACATGTATGTATTGTAGATATATATGTGTGTATATATATTAAATATATATATTGTTATATATATTTACATACACACATATAAGTAACATCTATTGTGTATATATCTTCATGTATATACACATACATAAATACTCAATATATGTGTACACATAATACATGCAGTATGTTCATATATTGTTATATATGTTATATACACATATAAGTAATGTATATATGTGTATATATATATTTATATATTATTATTATTATGTTATTTATGTTTATACATACACATATATAAATACTAAATATATATATATGTCTGTGTGTATATATATATATATATTTATATGTTCAATCTGTCAGCATAAGCAACAGGAGCAGCCATTCTCTTCTTCAGACGGAACTGTTCAGTCCATTCTTTCCACCAAAGAGACACCCGAGCTTCGGCTGGAGTTCATTCCACACCTCACCCATCTGTAATAAAACACATTTTCAATGTACCAGGGTAAGCTGAAAAGTTCTAAGACCAAGTTTTACACTTGGAACTTTAAAAGGTGTCAGATTTGAAGCAAAACATTTTTAGGAAACTCCAACAGCTTTGACGTGAAGTGCTATTATTGTATCATTGTCATGAATGGGATTTTTCAAGCCTCAAAAACATACAGTTCGGAAATCAGGGCAAACATTCAATTTCAACTAAAGGCCTGTGGAAATTTCGATCTTGCTCCAGCTACTTTTTTTTCCCCCCCAAAACTTCATTCAATCATTTGAAAAGAATCTGGATTTCCTTAGAAGTTTGCACCCGAGTGTAAAAGACATCTTTAGGAATTCTACAAAGAAGGAATTCTCTGAAGGGAATGTTTTGAACTAAATGTGGGATATGTGGAGAAATAGTTTCCATTTAAATATATAAAGATTGCTTTTTTTTCTATTTGTCTTAGAACTTACCCTTCACTGACCCTTTCTTAAGTTTGCCACAAAAAGATTTAAATACATGAAAATATTTTTGTAACCGTGAATATTAATTTTCTATTCCCTTCAAAAATATTTCTCTTACACTATTTGCTTGAAAAATCATTGTATGTGCAAATTAACAAACAAACAAATGTGACCAAACCGCGGGCCCCAGGACTGTCATTGAGTGACACCAAACCAGAGATCACTATTTTAATTCACCATTAAAATGATTAGTATTGAAAAGTACATATAGTACATTTGCTGTAATAGGTCCTGCTTTAAGGGACTGGCTTCGGAGAAGTCGCTCACCTCTTTGTGACCTTGAACCTGAGAGTTCACCAAAGCCCCGAGGATGTGGGAGGTGAGGGGAAGGTAGGTGAAGATGAGCTGTGTTTCTTGATGAAGGCAGAACAGCGAAAAGTAGTTCCGCAGCTCCATGGTCTGAATAGCATTCTCTTGCTTTTTGGAGAATGGGGAAAAAGTATAATAAGATATAGTAATCACTGATAATACACACACATTTGAAAATATGAATTAATATTGGCTTAAAAATAACAATATTTTTTCCAATAGGGGGCAGCAGAGGGCTATAAAAACTTAAAAAATGAAACTCAAAGCCATTGAAGATCTTCATGTGTGTCTTTCTTCAATTCCTGCTTCTGTAGCAGAACTGTATTCAACTAAACAGACCCAGGTTACATATATGGTTTATATATAAAACCATGACTAAATACATTTTCTTTCGTATACCTATGCTGAAATAGTCGAACGGCTAACGGATAGGAGAAGACAGGCACATTTGTAGCAGATCCATTCAAGCCTAATGAATGACTGTGATTTTCCAGTCTGGAAAAGCCACGTAGTAACGCACCAAGGGCGAAATCTAAGAGACGACAAATTGTGGAGGTGTGATGAAAGAGCCTGATCACCTGCACAATGCGCGACTCCAGCTGCTCCACAGACACCTGCTCTTTTGTCTGCACCGCGGCGCTCATCATCTGCCTCTTCATCACACTGTATTTGTGCAGAGCCCTCTGGTGCTCGTGAAGAACTCCCTTCTCATGGCGCTCACAGAGATCCTACGACAGAGAAGACAAAAAAAAAAACTAGTCACAAAAAGTAGTGTAGTGCCTTGAACCAGGCAGTATATGATGACAAAAATGTTTACTTGTATTTACGTCAGGAGAGTGAACTGAAAACGTATTTTTATGTTGCTACTGAAGAAGACTTCATTGGTTAGACATTTAACCCATCCCTGAGGAGTGGATGCCTTTAAGAGAGAGATGTTTGCTGCTTGATCAACATACCGCATACAGCCTAGTGGGATTCAAACCTGCAGTCCTCTGATAACAAGCCTAATCCCCTTACCACTAGGCCACAGGCTGAAAACATGACTTTAATTCCTAATAGATGTTCGTTTTTTATCAAAAGCTAAGGATAAACACACAAATGGAGCAAATATAGCATATATATAGTATTTACTTTATTACATTTATTTTATATATTAACTTTAATACTGTGTATTTATTGTAAAAATTGGTGCTAATGACCCTGGATACAGACTGCGCACATAACAACTACTGCAGTCGTTTATAAACGAGATGCATTTTGGCTAACAGGTAGGCCAAAAAAACATTTTTACCGATAAGCTAATCATAGCTTAAAGGGGGAAAAAAAAGTTAAACTTGGAAGAGAAGTTGGTCGAAAGTTTCAAAGAGATAGCTAGAGTTAACTGAAAAATTACTACTGACTTAATATTTTACTAATTCTTTTTTAATTATTTCAATTAACTAAAAGTACAGCAAATTACATAAAAAGCTAAGCTAAAAAATAAGTAAAAGTTGCCACAAATAGAGACGAAATACTGGCCCAGAGATAACAACAACACTTAGAATAAAGAAGATATCTGAACTTGCTTTGAATTGACCCACATATTGTTAAAATATTTTTTTAAAGTGAATTTAAAAAAAAAAGTTTTACTTTCTTGTGTTTGTATAGCATTTAGCTAATGGTGCTTTGTAGGTGTAAAGGAGCTCCATTTCTTGTTTATTTATTGTCTCTGATAAATAAGTCTAAAATTTTGTTTTTTTAATCCTTCATTTGTTTTGAAGTGTCAAACAGACGTAAACAAACAGCGTTCAGGTCGTATGAACTTACTCTGTAGGACTGCAACAAATCCAGAAAAAGATTCAGCTTTTCAACAACATCATCCTCTTCTCGTCCGCCCTGGGGACATGGGTAGAAAATAATGTATTACCCGGTGCCAGGACTGGACGAGCAGTGCACAGAACAGAAGGTGAAGGAGTCAGGACTGTACCTGCTGAGCAGCTTTGTCAGACAACACAGCAAACTCCACGGACAGACTCTTCAGTGACTGACGCAGCGTCCCCCAGGAGTTTTGAGAGGAGGCGAAAGAGGGGAGAGACAACGAGTCTGAGCCCAGAGTGCTGCAAAAAACAGAATTGTTAGAGAGGACAGAGTGTAATAATGAAGCCATTTATCTGCTGCCAAAGTCATTTTAAAAAAGAACAGAAACACGCAGTAAGATCATATAAACTTTCTTTTCTCTCCTCTGGATACAATACAAATAAATAAATAAAATAAATTGCACGTCCACATTGACGTTTACTCCATTATTTTTGTGTAAATCCACACTTTCATTACAATACAAACCCATTAGCAATAGCTTAACATTTTAATTGCAAATAAGGTCAAGAGAATAAAGATGGTTGTCAAAATGAACGCGTACATTCGCAGAAGGATGCACACTGCAAATCCCATAAGTCCACAGTCCATCCACTTATCAATGCTCTAATACAGTCATTACCAGACATGGACAAACTATGGCCCGTGGGCCATGTATGGACCACTGGGCCTTCTAATCTGACCCACCAAACACCTGTAGAAGGTGTGATAAAGACTGATGTCTTCATGCAATGTTTCATGCATTACAACAAATCGACTGTCATTTTTGTTGATGCCACTAGAGGGCGGCAGACATCAAATGTGCCAAATTATCTTCGAAAAGTTTATTCTTGTACATGTTATTTATATTATTTCACCAAGCATTCTGCTTTTACTAATACTAGAGCGCCCTCTAGCGGCTGTCAGTGTGAAAATAATAAACATGTACAATTATTTATTTTAATGTATAAGTCGCACCTGAGTACAAGTCGCAAACTCAGCTAGAAGGATGAAAAAAAGTGTGACTTACAGTCCGGAAAATACGGTATCTACAATTTGTAGGTCTTTCATAAGTCTTTGTCGTCATGAAGTACCTGAGCTCCCTGCCGAACATGAGGAGATCAGTTGCGTTCTCCTTGGAGCGCTCCGCCATCTTCTCAGCTCTGTCCCGCAATTTGTTGAACGTGTTGTGGATGTTCCTAATTAACTCTCTGCTCGTGGAGAACTGGGCCTGAATGTCAGCGGGCAGGTAGTCCTACAGAGAACAGAGGGTCAAACTCAATTTAAAGTTTCTTTTTTTTTTTTTTTTTTTTAGCATCGTATACTCTTCGTGTTCAGAAACGTGTAGATTACTAACCTTCGCCTGGGTCGCAACTCTGTTGGTCATGAATTCATCGCCTGCTTTTTTGTACGCATCACGCAGCTTGGTCTGAACATCCTGTTAGGGAAAAGACGAAGTTAGGCAAGAAGAAAAAAAAAAAACAGGGTGTCTGTGACACCAGAGAATTGAAGCAGAAAGTTAACTACACTACACACCGAGCCACTGAAGGTGAGGAAGGTCTTCACCAGCTCGTCCTCGGAAAAGACGGGATGCCTTGACACCAGGTTAATGAATCTGCCAAGTGCTCGTCTCCTCCCTTCAATGAACTCGCGCTCGGAGACAGAGGTCAGCACTGGAGACGCACAGCACGGGAAACAAACAATATTTTGGTAGGGAAGACGTGCGAGGGGAGGCAAAGCAAGCAGTTTGACACCCACATGGAGGCCCGCGCAACTGTCACCATCACCTCACTTCACCGAGTCAATTAAAAAACACACTTGTTATGACACACCGAGGCTGCAACATTATTGGGAGAACGGTTCATTACAACCACGTTTAGAACTAGTAGTTAATTGAGTCATCTGCTAGACACAGTGTGATGTCACAATTCAGAATACAGGGAAATTGTTGTCATGACAACGGTCGTCCATGATCCCAATTGTTTTTACCCAGAATATTTATTTTACCAAATGTGAAATGTGTTTTGGGAAATTCAGGGATCATTAGTCAACGGGACTGTTATGACAAAAACATTATGCTAAGATCGTACTGAAGGAACTTAGACCCTTGTATTACAAACTCTTCCTCACTGCTTTAAATATGCGAAAATAATGCTAACTTTTTTGCTATCTTTTTGAACATTTTCGATTGTTTTAAAGCTATGCATATACATTTTTTTTATGGTCACATGCGGTCATTCCAGGTCAGTGGTTTTTAAATTGGGGGGCGGGGCCCCACTAGGGGCACAGCACCATTGCTAGGCTTTTTATTATTTTTAACCAATATCTAGCTCTTTTCTATGAAAATTCATTGCTGTTTAGAAAAAAATGTTATGTTCCCAGCTACTTCCTCCCAGTTCTTTCACTTTTTAACTTTAAGTTATTTTAAGGCTAACATTTATTACATTTCCTCCTCTGCCTTTAACTAATTTAGGGCATATAGCTCTGCTCCCAACACACTTATAACTATATCAGCTTTGTATTTATTCAAATCTAATTCCAATACTATTTTAAGATAAATTCTTAGCTCCTCTTATTAATTGTACTGGAACTTAATTCTATTTATTGTTTTTCTCATTTTTGCTAACAAAATGTATCGTTGATGTCGTTGATGGGAAAATTGTGTGTACACTGCATAAATCATTTTGAAGACAAAAAGGAAAACATCAATGAGAAAAAAAAAATATATATATATATAACTGTTGGAGTGATGCAGGCTCATTTAACGCATCACGGCTTCCCTCCTTTCTCTCACGCATTAATTGTGATGGATGACAACGTCAGTGTTTAAAACAACGGGAGCAGCCGCGTGAATTTGAAACTTATCTCTAAGAAAAAACTCTAATTCAAAACAGACTCCATCAACACAAACTCCCCGATCTTCAGTTGAGCATATAAATACTTCAAATGACCCATGCAGTGAATACATGCATCAATAGACAGAAGAGATCCAGACAGTTTAACACACCTGCCTTTAACATCCTTTTCGGTGGCAATGCCGGCACCACCCTGTAGGAGAATTTCTGGAGCAGAACCTCGTGGAAGACGTCGAAATCACTGTAGCGCCGATAGACGGATATTTTATATCGCTGCAAATGAAAACAGAAGAGAAGACAGCCGCATCAGCGCCCGCTGGTGACGAAATTCCACGTTTCCATAGTCAAGCTTGAGAAGAATTAAAAACAGGACCCCTACAGGCAACAAGGAGTAATTGAAAAATGCTTCCAGAGAAAAATACCTCCTCTGACACGGAAGCTGAGATCACTCATCCACATCTGAAACGGATTCTACTGTTTGTGCAACAACAGAAACCATTTCTCAATGGAACATTAAGCAAGATAGGAAAAAAAATCTTTTTTCTTGCGACATGAATAATTAATCCTGCCCCTGACCCCAAGAAATATATGACACGGCTCATACTTCCTCATATTATTATTATTTAACTATTTAAACTGTGTTAACGTAACAACTCTTATAATTAAACTTATTTTGCTTATCTATACATATACAAGCCATAGAGATAATGAGGTATATTGTAGTATATAGAATTGTAATGTATTTGAATAATAGACACCACCTAACAGCAATAATTATCTACTAACCTACTACTACTACTTATACTAATGTAATCTACTACTACTAACCTACTAATCTATTAATATCCACTGTTCCAGTTTTCCATATTCTTTCTTTCTTTCTTTCTTTCTTTCTTTCTTATCTATCCATCCATCCATCATCCATCCATCTATCTCTCTCTATTATCCATCTATCCATCCATCTATCTACAGTAAATGCTAATACGTTCCAGTGATTTACTGTTGTTGATGATTGATGTCCAAACAGCCTTCATGCAATTCATGCAAATAATACAAATCATTTCTGATTGACATCCATAGAGCCACTAAGGCCTACATATGATCCATTAACAGTATGTGACTCCACAGGTTCCACTGAAGGCCATACCTGGCTGGTGACCTGGTACTCCACATGCTTCAGGAACAGGCCCTTCTTCTCAGGTATCAGCTCCACCTGGATGGTATCGATGGCCAGCAGTTTGTCCAGGGTGTGGGACATGGTCAGTGCATCTTCCTCCACCGGCTGTATCCTGAGTGCACTGAGGCTCTTTGGCTCACCGAGCTGAGGTTTGGGCAACTCTGTCAAGCCAAACAGTTAGAAAGGTCAATATTTGCTTTCTTAGAACTTAAACATTACATCACAGCTATTCAATTGGATTTCACAAGAAGTAGGAATAAATCTAAGTTAAAAAAAAATCAATTTGTTTATCTGACTGTATTTATTACACTATAACTTAATTACTAGCATATTTCTTTTACTTTAATTTAGATTTTTTTTTGGCTGAAATTAAACACTAAAGGTCAGGTAAATATATTTATTCAAACTAAATATATTATTTCAGTTCGTCTTCTTGTGCTGTTAATATACCTGCCAACTGTTCTGGGATAAATGCTGCAGTAGTACCCATTAGATTACTGTGTTTTTTTGTCATTTTTAGGTTGTGAAAAATACACATAAAACATTTAGGTGTCATGATTAAGCACTAGGATGTTTTACTTGTCAAACTGCCTTTCCTACACTGCGGGCTTCCTCTGACTGTCTTCTCACATGAGATTTAAAACAAAGTAGCCCCACACAGATGACATCCTCTGACCTACGCTGACCTCGGCTCCATAAAGCTACTCATTAAACCGAACCTTAACTGCTAACGCTGAGGTCGTCTCCGTAGCTGTATCGTCACTTACCTTGTATACAGTTCTCCAGCAGTTTGGGGCTGGGCTGCTTCCCTTGCTGTGCCAGGGCAATCAAAGCCAACGCTTTATAGAGTGACAACTTGTTAAGAAATCCATCTGTGGAGTCGACGTGCTCCGAAAGCTGAGAGGGACAAAGACACTGAGTGACCTGGAGGTCTGTTTTTTTTTTTTCTTTTCAAATACTGTGGTTTGCATTCCTTTGTGCAAAAAAAAGTGCTCACTAGACACAAAAGAAATGATACGCTGGAGGGTCAGGAAATGGTAATTTCCAGTCAACCGCAAACCGTCTGAAAAAGTACCTCAGTCTCAGAATACTAAGAGATATTTCATAACACTAACTCATATCTCATCAGTACAAAAAGTGTACCCTTTGACAGTATTGTCCTAAAAGTTAAAGTAAGTAGCAGGATGTGACTTATCTACACAAGCAATGTGGATTTCACCGCTCTAATTGTCAAATTTATTTGAGCACACGTTTCAGACCTGTGTTTACATACGTGTCAAACTCAGGCCCGGGGACCAAATCTGGCCCACGATGTTATTATATTTGGCCCGCAAGATCATATCAAATATGTACTAGAGTTGGCCAGCCAGTATATAGCCACTATATAGCCACTATATACTGGCAGGATTTGTAGTATTAGTGTATGCGCTGTTTGGAATATGCGCATAAATAGCGCGTACATTGTGTTTTGTTTTGTTTTTTTTTTTGTTGTTGTCAGCCTGTGAAAAAAAGGCTACACATCTGCCTTAAACAGTATGCAGAAGGTCCTGGGTTTGACCCCCCCCCCAGAAGAACCACATACTTGGCACCTCTAGGGGGCAGCAGATCTGCTGTTGACACGACAATTTTCCCAGTTGAAGTTATTATTATTTGTAATCATTATGTTGAGCTCCTACCCGGGCTAAGACAGCGTTGGGGAGCTCCGTCTTTTGGAGCAACCGCTGGAAGACTTCCACCTGCACTCTCTCATCATTCCTACATCGGACAGCCTCGTACACTTCCCTGTAATACGCAGGGACCGAGCCTAGAAGAGAAAAAAGTATCCACAAAAAACATGAGAGACAATTCTGGCAAAATTACCTCGAAGAGTGAACATACATTTATTGGGTTTTCCCCTATGGTATTTTCTGGGGGGAAAAACACAATCAAATGAATTATGAGTACTGGAGGCTGTTAACACGTTCCTGTCACATGACCCATGACTCTGCTCTTCACATTTACTAGTCAGATGCCACAGCAATCTCTGAGAGATGACACAGTATGTGCTTTAGATCAGCAGTGTCAAACTCATTTCCACCAGGGGGCCACATCATCAATACAGTTCCCCTTGAAGGGCCGGTTGTAAATGTTAGACTGTATAGATCAGGGGTCCCCAAACCCTGGTCTGCGGACCAGTACCAGTCCATAGGTCTTTTAGTACAGGGCCATTTTGGAACACAGTGAAAAAAATGTACTTAATTTTTACTAATTTACTTCATTCAAAGAAAATCCAGTCAAATCCATTTACTGTCTTTATTTAAAGATAATCTGGTAATAACAGGTAACAGGTGGTACTTTATAGAGACAGACCCTACCCCCAGGTCGGGGACCGCTGGTATAGATGTTACTCCTCAATTACAGACTAATACATGTTTCTGCAATTGATTATTATTTATTCAAGCTGCAAACATTGATCATTGTTGTGTAATAAACAAAACCTTTTAATTTCTCGGGTTAAGAAACTCTGCTGTATGCCCCGGGCCACACAAAACGGCTTGGCGGGCCACATTTGGCCCCCAGGCCTTGAGTTTGACACATTTGCTTTAGATTTTCTGGGATGAAAATGGTTGCATTGACTGCACCCCATCAGTTTGCAAGTTTGCACTTTACCTTGTCCAAAAGTAGCACAGTTAGATTTGTGAAAAAAACCCGTAAGTTTAATGAACTACATTATTTCCTCGTAAGGAAGACCTGATATGAATCCTAAACATATATTTCCACCCAACGCACTAACGACGGCTGAGAATGTTTCACTTTTAATATCCAGGTTGTTGATGTATTTGTTTATTTGACATTCAATCTGCAACTTGTCACCGCAGTTTTCAGTGAATACGGCTGTATTTTTGTTTCCAAAAAGTCGCACCGCTAAGTCACCGTAGAGACCTGCTGACAGGTTTCACGTGGCATAATAAAAAAATAAAAAATAACAAAACCCCATGAACTTCGTACGTCAGATTTGAACATATTCCCACAAATGTTTTTCAACGTTGCTCTTTCCCCAGAAAAACAGAACTACGGAAGTCAAACACGAACACGTCAAACCACCCGTCGTCTCTCCACTGATGCAGCAACTTCATTCAGATCGCCGTGTTCCCAAAAGTTCCCATTGGCTGCTGCACCGCGCGTCTTCGATCGAGCACGAAAATGTTCCTTCGCGATCTGAATGGACGTGGCCCTGCAGCCAGTACAAAAACACGGTAAAAGCGACACACGCAGGTCTGAGCGAGGAAGAAAGTGAAGAAGTGCAACGTACTGTACCTTCATTAATCTCTCCTGCCATGGTTTCTGAGTGTCATGTGAGCGCCACAGCACCTCCATGTGATTTCCTGCAAAAAGAGAGAAAAAAAAAAAAACCAAGTCACTCATTTCTTAAAGTTGTAGTGAGTGGTTAAAGTCCAGGTCTGCATCAGCAGCTGCACGGGTGATAAAACTATTAAACACGGCGTTGCACGTGAAGGTGTCAGTGTTTAATAATAAACTGTACACTAAAGAGAACGCGCGTGACTTTCTTTTTTTCATGAAATCCCTGCCATGTGGAGACTATGAAGATACAGTATGTGCGTTATATAATATGATTCTGTGAATAGACATCGATACTGTTGGGCACCAGTTTCACTTGTACATCTTGATTTATTCGGTTACATCTTGAGGTTTCTGTTCCTCATTCTTTAACGTCAAGTCCGTGCAATGATGCCGTCCTCGGAAGTTTGTACTGTAGTTGTTGTAATAATAATAATAATAATAATAATAATAATAATAATAATAATAATAATAATAATAATAATAATAAAGATGGTTATGGTAATTGGTATTATTAGTATTATTACTGTTATTATTATTGTATTATTACTCTTAGTAGTGGTAGTGTTACTGTTATTATTATTATGAAGAATTGCAATAATTTTGTCTATATTGTTTTATCGACCAATAAACATGGATCAGACAACAGTTTGTCAGTGTGATCGCATCAAAAAATTAAGATAAAAGAGGATGGTGGTGCAACATGGTGTATAAGGAAAACAGGAGTCAAGGGTAGGTAGGTTGTGATGGAGAGGTTTACACATCAGGTCAGACTATAGGAGTGGGAAGCAAGTGGAGAAGAACTTCCGGAAGTGGAGAGCAGCACTAGAGAGGACAGAGTGAAGGTCAACAGACGCAAGACGGAATGCAATGTCTGAGGCAGGTGGTAAGAGATGCTGCAAAGAATAGAAATAATGAAGGCGGATCCGTTTAGGTACTTGGGGTAACAGTCCTGCAAGTAGGAGTGAATGGATGTAGACGAAGGTCAGAGTTGTTAAAAGAATAGCTGCGAGAAAGGGGGAAAGTTGGGCTCTACGGATTGGAGATATGGGCTTTGTCTGAACAACAGGTGGCTGAGCTGAAAGTGGCAGAGATGTTCAATGGGAGTGATCAGGATTCTAAGGACTTGACATGAAGACATGGTATAAGACAACGGCAGCTGCAGAGCACAGTAGAGGGTAAAAAGAAATAAAGCATAGAACAGCGCTAGGGTGATACAGATAACATCTCTGCTATTTCTTACATTTATAGTGTTGAGTTTTGCAAGTTACTATAATAGAAAACAAAACTGTGAATAATATCAGTCAAATAATTGTTGTTGTTAACGCAAATGTTGGTCGTACTGTCTGAAAGTCTGACAGCAACTGGGAGAAACTACCTTTGGTACCACTCCTCCAGGCATTTTGGGTGTTTTAGTCTGGTGCTGAAGGAGCTGTTCAGAGATGGTGTTCTGCAGGGGTTAGAACAGGTTGTCATCATCAGAGATGATAGCTTGGCTGTCATCTTTCCCTGCCTTAATTTCTGCACAAAGAATGTTGAAGAATGAACTTTTAGGGAACTTTAAGGGCAGGAAACAGAAAGGCGCTAAGAAAAATAAAAAAAAATAAAGAAATAAAGATCAAAACTAAAAAGGTAATTTAAATACACACAAGAAATGTTAAAAAGCAAATCTTTTTGTATGTTCTAATGTAAGGCCCTGCATTTCATTTTTCCCCTTATTTTAGCCAGTTTACTGTGTAAAACTAATTTATTTTTGGTTTATCTTTTTATTTTTATTTTATTTTTTAATTTATATAATTTACTTGACTAATTATCTACTATTCAGTCCCATATCTCCAGTCAACGCCACGTGCCTTAAACAATAAACAAATACCCTGTCATTTTTGGAGTAATGTCACCGCTGTGTGTCGCTGTTGTGCTGTTTTTGTACCGGCGCAGTAAACTGAGTTCGGGCCGGGCCGGGCGCGTTGCCAGCTGGGTTAATGTCGTGAGAGAGTCTCCGTGTACTGGCTCTAGTCTCCTGTCTCACTCTGCGAGTAACTGGATGGAGGTTTAACTATAATGAGGTTGAGCCAGTCAGGGTGAGACTGCGGGACATGGAGACAGGAGACAAATGACTTAGTGTGGACGTAAACATGGTGTAACGTTTAGGAGCCGCGAAGAAGAATGTCAAGAGGAACAATAGAGACTTCTGTTTTTATTTATTTATTTTTTGTTAGCGGACTAAAGTAACCAGCGGCTACAGCGGCTAACGTTAGCTGTGTTAACGCGAGCTAACACCACAGGTATGTTTAACCATAACAAGTTTAAACGTCGTGTTAATTTGATATATTATTGTTAAGTAAAGTACAGTAAAGATTGTGGCAGTGATATGGTTCATGTGTACACTACAATAGGACTGGCGCTAGAGTCAGAACTCTGTGCATCATTAAGTTCACTGGTTAACAAGCTAACCAGCTAAGCTTCAGGTCCGCTAAGCGTAGGTCATGTAAGCAGGTTAGGTTTGTTACCCGCAACAGTGAGCCAGAGCAGTGAAACGGTTGTCACTGTCATAATTGCGAACTTGGTTATCAATGTATAATGCAATACTGTAGGCATACTGTATTATGACTTTAGCGTTACTTCATTGTTTCTTGTTTATCCATGCAGTTGCATGTTGATACTTAATTAACCAATGCTTATCTAGCGCTTTTTACTGTAGCCGTATAAACCACCACCCATTTCACATATTTGCAAACTTCCTTCAATTTGCACAATTTTAGTCGAACCCTTGAACTTTGCATTGCTTATCGGTCTTTACCAATCACACAAGGATGAAGTTTCTTGCCCAGGGCAACATCAGCGTGTACTGTAGCAGAGCCTTATATTTAGGGATGCACCAATACACATGCCAAGTACTGCATTCTTGTTGACTGAATTTGCAGATTGTAGGATTTAGAGCTAGCCTATTTCATCAGCCTCTGTGCCAGTGGTGAAAGTCAAGACGTCCTGTAAAGTGTTTGTTGAACTAATAGAGTACACAGAAAGCTTTAGGAGAAATTCAAACACGCTGTATTTTTCAGTACTTCACATTGTGCAGACCTAGTTGTTTACCTTAAATCAGTGCTTCTCAAAGTGTGGGGCGGGCCCCACTGGTATGGGATGGGACATGACAGGTGGGGCGTGAAAACTGGGAGGATTTTCAAGTACCATTTTCAAGGTTCAAGTGATGATGTCATGACAACTGCAGTTTAATTTTCTCTTTTTGAACATTTTTGTTATTCAATGTTGTTGATTTTGATTCATTACACGTTATTTGGTGTTAGTTTGAATGATGACCCCCAGATGTATCTGTACATCTTATCATGTTAATCATATTCTGTGCTCTTAATAAGCACATTCGACATATGGCAGTCTTCTGTTTACCATGTGCGTAACCAACGGTTGTTTGAGTCACTAATGCTCTTCTATTATCTGTAATCTGCCTGGTCAAGTGGTGTTAGCAAAGAATTCTTTTTAACCCACACACTTTCTCAGACTACAGTATGAGTCAAGCCTGTCTTACACATAAAACCATGTTCCTTTTCTTCCTCATTTTGATCTCAGCAGAAATTGCGCAGCTCTTTCCCATTTCTAAATGCCTCAATGTAAAACAGCTGCTCGACTGCTCGACTGATTTGTTTTTGATTCTTTGCATCTTTATAGAGACAGACCCTATGCCTGTTCCAAGTATCTTGTCTTGCTGAGTGGAACTCGCCAATATAAACTTGCCATGGCCGCAGTGGTCAGCTTCTCTCCACCATGGTGGGTGAATGTGTTGCACAAAACCCCTCATTTCAACTTCAGATTTGAGCAGACCAGCAGTGATTTCAGACCAGAAGACTGGACTTATCAACAGGTACGTAAATACTCCTCTTGCCTAGAAATCTGTTGGTTCGTGTTGTCCACCATCCTTTTTAAGAGAGGATGTTCTGATGCTGATTGTGTGAATTAGTCAGTTTCCTCAGGGAGGGATAAGCCGTGGACTGTCTGCACCTGTTCTTCACCTTTTGAGCCATGTTACCATCTGTTGGGACTGGTATTTCCGAGTCTTGACCTTTTCCAGACACGGCCTTTTGGCTGTGCGTAGTGTAATCTAAGCCACCTTAAATGACCCTAATGACCTCAAACCCAATTTCCCTCTGCTGTGATTATAATAATGCCGTGAGATCGTGCGAGGTAAAACCTTAAAGTACTCAGATTAATGTTGGTGAAATGTTATGGCGACTGCAAAGTGAACATCTAAGATCGGGGGGATGGTAGCATAACATTTGTTCACATGTTTAATGCGAAGAGAGATTCCCCGGATTTAGGTCAAGTTGAGCTGGAGGGTTTTATGTTGCAATGCGTTTCTCCACGTCCGTAGCCCTTTAAATATTTATTCTGATGCTGATCCTGATAGATTGTATGTATGCCACTGTTTACCCTGTTATAAAAAAATGAAAATGAAAATTGTATGTATGCCACTGTTTACCCTGTTGAAAAATGAAAATTAAAGCCATAAAAAATGATTCAATGAAAAACATATCCAAAAAGCCAAGTCTGGCTAAAAATGGTTGAAGTTACCCAGGATATATTTGCAATTTTCAGTATAAATTCCCTTTTAAATGTTTGACATATTTTGTCATTACATTGTGTTGCATAGGTGTCAAAGTGTTTGTCTTAAAAAGAGATTTTGACTAAAGTTTTAACAGTTAACTGGAATAAAAATAATTAAAAAAAACTCCCTTATGATGTGGAAGTGTGACTAAGAAAAACGAGAAGTGAAACACGGTTTCAGAGAAGTAAGAGGAGACTGGTTCCAGATGTGGACGTGATCAGATGTCATGATGTTACATGAACTGTACAAACATTCCTCTTCAATATACTGTAAAGGCGGTTCAGACGCATAATAGTCATAGCCTCACATTTCTGTGCTGATGTTTACATTTTCCAAAATAAGCAGCGATTCACACTCATCCCTGCATTTGTCACTAACGTTTGCTGTTACATCATGGTTTCTTAGTGGACAGTCAATGCATTTCCAGTGCAGCAAGCATCAAGGATTTATGGCATTACCTGGACAATAAATCAACTGAAAATTAGACTGGGATAAAAAACAGCCAATGCTTATTTATTCTTTAAGAGCGGAGTTTGCAGCATTTGTTTGGTTAGTGTTCAGATTTTGTATTAGTCTTCATGTTTAAAGGCCAGAGGCAAAGAATTACACAATTTCCTCTAAACACTGTATGTTATTCTGTTTACACAGGGTAAATCTGCAGGCTTTTTCTTAGTTAAACATAGAAGAACATCTAAACCCAGATAAAGGTGTTTAAAATCCAAATATCCAGGACAAAGAATAATGCCTACATTTATCAAAACAAAACATGTAACCATTGCATACGTGAAAGCGCATTATCTCACTTCCCTCACACAGTTATCTCCACAAGCACGACATAAAAGAGGTCATAATTAAGCTGGCCCGCTAAACTATAATTATTGGCCTACTGTGATGACAAGCTGGTAATCATTGTCAATTCACTGCTCTCATCCAGACTGGAGGGGAAGGCAAGATACATGCAGATGGCCGGGCCTAGAGCCGGGCTCGCTGTGGCTCTGTGTCATGGCGTTGATGCACACATACAGTAATAGGGATGTGATGCAACATATTCAACACTGCTGAGAAGATGTTTCAGTGAATCGAACGTAATTTGATCTGTTTAGTTGAACTAAGGGCAGCATGGTGCAGGGATTGTGTTGATCTGTTTGTCTGGGGTTTTCAGGGCTCCAGATTAGTTTTACTATGGTAATGCTGTTGCTCCCAACAGAATATTCAGGAGTCCATAAAATGTTATTATCCTGCAGCCTAGTATAAGCCATTATGCTAAAACAACAACGTACCGTTCATTCATAGACACTGTGATCTGCAAGTTTCTATTTTATAGTCTGCTTAATGGCAATACTTTTGTCAAAGAAACTTTTCCCAGACAAACGTTATGTCGAACACTCAGGTTCAGGTCTTTTTCAGGAAAACTCAATGTGGATTTTGTTAATTATTATTTAGTAATAATGAGGTTAATGGTTAAAGCTCACTTTGTGCTTTATTGTTTGATTTTGTCTTAACGTGTGAAATCGACACCGTGTTCATGGTAATTGAAGTTCGGTTGAAATTAACTCCTTTTTTTATTTATCTCTGCAAACGACATTATTTCTCTGTACAACCTGCATTGAAAGCACAAATTCTGGACTGGGAATTCCTGGTGTAAAGTAAATGGAAAGTGCTACTGATGGCTCAGAGGCCAATGTCGCTGATTATTTTTCCGTGAGCTTTGGAAAAGTTTGTTCTGGCAGACCGTGATAATGAAATTGATGTTATTACCAGTCTGTTATTCCAGAATCGTTCATGTTGTCTTTATTGCCCCATTTTCTCCACTCATCATTTTGAGATTGTCTCTCATTTGAAAGAACGCTATGTTTCATTGCAAGTCTGCAATCATCTCTGTGCTTATGTTTCTCAAATGAACAGACTTTATGTTCTTCACACACTGATTTTTTTTTTGTTCTTCATCACAGAAGTCCTCAGGGATAGTGTCTCTTGAATGTAGTGCATGTATTACTAAAGTGTCTGTTATGGGGGAAAACCTTATTTTTTTTATTTTGGATACAACTGTAATTTCTTTGTTGCACACATGGCAGAAAAATTCAAGTCCAACATTGTGAAAATCCCGAAGATCAGCATATGAGGCCTAGGTTTTTGGACGTGGGTCTCAAAGCATACTTTGATGAGCCTCTGGGAAAGGCTTAAAAAGTCCATTAAGCCCAGTGTTATTGACATGTGAGTGATATTGACATGATATTTCCATAAACCATTTTCCGTGTCCATCAGTCCATCCTGTTAATCGGAGGTGTGGCGCTCGCCTGTCTGGCCCTGGACCTCCTGTTTCTTCTCTTCTACTCCATTTGGCTGTGTTGCCGGCGGAACAAAAACGTGGAGCAGTCCAACGCTGACTGCTGCTGCACGGCCTGGTGTGTCATTATTGCAACACTTGTCTGCAGGTGAGTAGCCGTGGAGGAGCACACTCGTGTGAAGTCATCAAACGTTTTGGAATGTCCAAACATAGGGTTGCTGAGTCCACGCAAAGAGACCACTTATTCCGAGTAGGCTTTGAGAAAAAAATAAAAAAAATAAAAAAAACTTCAGCTTAGAACATCAGGCAGGTTCATGGCAGAATCGAAAAAATCATAACAAGTTGAAAAAGATAGTTACAACAAACTGATCAAAATGACTACAGAGAAAATAAAACAAAAATGTAAATGCGATGTATTTCTGGAAAATACGGTGCTGGTAGCTAAAGCCTTGTGCCAAAAAAAATAGTGAGAATTCACATTTCGCTTTTGCCAACACAGTAAGTGAGAAAAACTGTTGGTGAGATGTTTGTTGCAGTTTCTCTAGAAGTCGTGATTTCAAAGTATGCTTAGGCGAACAGTTAAGCATCCCTCCGAAAAGCAGAAGCTTGTGTTGTAGGTCTGGTTAAGGCTAAAGCAGTGTTGGAGTGAGCGTGCAGCTGCTATAGAGGGAATAATATCGACTGGAGGACTGTGGTAACTCATTGGCATCAATGTTTTCTTTTCCTCTTTGTCTCCAGATAGGCTGATGAAATATATGGTTTGGTTGCAATTGAAGATCCCTCTGAAGTTGAATTGTGTAACAATAGCAGTGCTAATAATATTCATAAATGCAATTTCACACTTATTAGAACTTAAGTATTAATGTACTGTTCTGGCACAAACTTGGCCCAAAGTTCCAACGGTTGAAAAATTGGATCCTAGATGGAGTTTTACAGTAGAGAAGATTTCTTGTTCAAAACAATCACATAACGATAAGTAGGTGTTGGAGACAAACTCTTCCTACGTGAAGAGTCTGTGCTGTATTAAACACTTGGTCTCGATGGTGGTTATTTAAGAGAACAATAGAGGAGTTAAACTTGTTGGTTTTATTTTGGCCATTATGAGAACTGTACCATCTGGCCACGCTCTTGATCCCTGAATACGGCATTTGTTTCCTGTTTTTCCTCTTCCTGTCGATGGGCCACTAGAGAGCCATCACGGGCAATTCAGGCGAGCACAAAGAGCTTGGGGACCAGATGAGTACAAGAACTGCATCACAAACACTGTGTCTATGCCGTGCTTTGAGCCCACTCGCAAATGTGTTTTGAGTGGAAAACGGAATTTGAATTTGTACCCTTTTAAATAGATATTTTATTTGCTGTTTTTTAAGTGCTCTGATTATTGTTTTCCACGCTATAAACTAAGAAATTCACAGATGCATTTTAGTGAAGCGGTTCATTTCTGCTGTGATACTGCCTCTATTCATTTCACACCAGAGAGAGAGAAGAGTTTATCAGCACTGCAGTAAAAAAAAGTGTAAATTCCAGTTGCTCTTTTATCTCCATTTAATAGATTTTGCTAATAAAATCCAGCTTCAGGGGAATGACGGAAGTAATTAACATCTGTTTTTTTTTTTAGTGCTTTTGTATTATATGAGGTTTACTGAATCAGAGTGGAACATTTACAGTCTTTTGTTTTCCATGTCTGGCTGCAAAAGACAAACAAAGTACATAGAATTATGAGATAATGGTTTGCTAAAAAAAAAGGAAAATGTTAGGGGAAACGTACCTCTCCTCCCATGCCAAAAGTATCCTGAACAAAACAATAATTTAGCCTAGAATTGACTAAAAATTAGCAAACGAGCTAAAGGTAAGCTAAAAATAAAGCACCAGTAGCTTTTAAAGAATGCTACTGGTGTCCAAATTGTAACTAGAGGTAAGCCTAAAATTAGCCAAAAGCTTAAAACAACAGTCATAAACCTATGGTCAGCTGTATTACCCAGAGGACAACTATACATTAGCACAAAAGTAGCTAAAATTGAGCTTAAATGTAATTTTTTTTCTGATAAATTTGCCTTTGAAATGATCCAAGCTTCTCTAAAAATAACTTGTTGCCTTGTAGTGAAGTCAACGAAACTAGCGGGAAATGGTTTTCCTGCAACCTGAGGCCTGTCTATGCAGATCAGAGCCCGTCTTCTTCCTCACTAGAGCCTTTGTCAGTCACGGGGTTTTGAGACATTGCTCCCCATTCCTCTGTGTTTCCATGGTTCTCTATAGAGTCTTTCTGCTTCAGCTCAAAGGGGTCCGTTGACTGAGGTCTGAGACGATAGGGTTAACTGAGAGTTCACACGCCCTTCCCACTAACTCGATGTCCCCCTCACTCTTGCTCCATCTCCGTCTCCTGTCTGTGTCCTTTTTAGCTAATCATTCCTCCTCTCTACCCCTGTCTTTCCTCCCTCCCTCCAGCGCTGGCATTGCTGTGGGTTTCTATGGAAACGGCGAGACGTGTGACGGAGTGAATCGGCTCACATATTCCCTGCGCCACGCTAACCGCACAGTCACCGGAGTGCAGAAGCTGGTGAGACCGAAAGCACAAACTAAACCAACTTGATAAATATTTAACAGTTCTGCCGTGAATGAGCCGTCCTGCTTTTGTCAATAAAGCTAAGCACTGATTCCACTGGTTTTTACTCCCTGAGTTTAAGCATCAACTCTTTCATCTTTTTGGTGATTCCAGATATATGACAGTGCATTCTCACTGAACCACACAGTAGACGACAATCTGCAGCAGCTTGAGAGCCAGTATGCAGGGCAAGCAGACTACCTGTCCATCACCCAAAAGCTACAAGGCCAGCTGGAGGAGCTGATCAGACAGATGGTCAAGATTCCCTTTTGGGAAAACCCCATCGTCTCCCTGGAAGAACTGGCTGTCACTATTGAGCTGTATGACTGGTTCAGGTTCGTCTGCAGCACAAACACTATTTTAAAAAGGGTTAATTTTCGATCATTTGCACAGCAATTATTTGGCTAAGTTTATTTTGGGTCTTTTTATTTCTTATTTCTGCAGTAGTATTCAGTTACCTTTTTGATTACATCACCTTTGTTGATATTATAACATTTCCAATGCTGTTTGAATATGAGTATTTAAGGAAACCTAATTCTATCTCTGTGGTTACTTTTTTAATATACTGAGCTTTTGCTAAATATATTTCTGACCTAGCCTCATCTATTTTAGCGCTCAACTTTCACATGTTTGTAGATAAATACATTTTGCTCAAGTTAATTATGATATTTCTAACAACCAGTGGTCATTTGAAGACAGCTAAGATTTCCTGTATTTGGTATCCTGAACAACATCCTCATTATTTTAGCATTTCTTTTACAAAAATAGAGATAATCTTCTGGTAACTCCTGGATAACCTATAATTCCTCATTTCTTGGCATTTTCACTGTGTAATCATCTAGCTTTTTGCTATATCTCAGTGACTCGTATATCTGTTTTTAATATGCAGTTATTTTGTCTGCCTGCGAGTATTGTTTGCCACAGAAACCTGGCTTGTATTTATTTTTTTTTTACATCTTGTTTTATCCTTGTTAACGGTCTGTGGGGGACAGATCCTGGTCTGTAGTAAAAACAAACAACAGCAGACTCTCTGCAGGAAGAGGCTCTTAAATAATTCACAGACCCTCAAACACTCTCAGCAGCGTTGTGCATCTTTAACTTTAGGTCACGTTGCAAGGTGGAAAGTTAATCTGAGGTGAAGCAGAATATCCTGTCTCTGCTATGGCCCTTTGAGGTTGTTCTGACTTTGCACGAATTGACAGGATATGCAGTTTCCTTCAAGGTTCAAACCGGTTTCTACGTAGGTAACTGCAAAGTTTTGGCGTTGGAAACAGAACAAGCCTATAAAAAAAGTGAACATGTTGCTGTGCTGTTCTCAGCCATGTGTCATTAATTTGTCAATTGTCCTCCAAGGTGGCTGGGATACATCGGCCTGCTTCTGTTTGACATCCTCATCTGCCTTCTGGTGCTGTTTGGCCTCATTCGCAACTCCAAAGGAACACTTATAGGGTGAGTCTCATTACAAGATCACGGCTGCACGGCAGCACTTAAGAGGAATATGACTCAGCCCTGGGAAAATGATTTCAGCTCTTTAGCCCCCCGCCAACCAACAGCAACATTACGACTCATCAGAACATCCCCTGTCATTAGACCTCAGTCACATTTCATTAACCGTCGACATCGCATTGTGAATTTAAGAGTGATTCGATGATGGCTGCTCTGCAGTAGGTTTGCCCTTGTTTGCATGTTTGTTTTTATTTGTTTGCTCTGACATTGCCACGAATCATCATCACCTCGTGAAGAGTCACCACAGCAGTAGTCTGCCCTCAGTGGTATTTGGTATAATAATAATAATAATCATTTACCTTTCACACCTCCTTCCTGTCATTATTTCATTCAACTCCACATACCAACTGCATGACACATGTTTTTCCACTTCCTCTTAAATTCAGCATAAATGACTTTAAGCAACTCCATCCTGCGTTCTCTTCCTATTTTGCATATTAAATATAATCCAGAGAACACCAGATTATGTTTCTGTATTGTGTATTTGATTGTTGATGGGTGAAAACCATTGAAGATGAAACACGATCACGTGCATGTCTCCACTCTCTCTCTCTCTCTCTCTCTCTCCAGGGTTTGCTTGTTCGGTGTGCTGGCTCTGATTATTAGCTGGGTCTCCCTCGGGCTGGAACTGGCCGTCTCTGTGGTAAGCATCTCCAGTCGAGCACGGTGCTGTTTCCCAGGTGAAGCTGCCTCATTCCGGTGTGTGCGTAACACAGTAGGGCAAATATTGATTGCAGAATTGGGAATTTAGTGAAGGGAGATACAATCTGTCCTGTGATAGGAATGAAAAATGAAAGAAAAACTTCAGTATGAAGTTTTGGGTCTGGGTGTAGAACATTTTTGATAATCATTGTGAATATAACAACCAAAATTAGATCTGACTGACGTTAAACTGGCATTTTTGTTTGGTCAATTATCCAATGAAATTATGTTGAAATCAATTTTTCAACCTATTTTACATATATAGTATATTCTGTCTAATTTTATTAACGCATCCATTACTCGAGTGAAATAATTAAAACGCCGGCTGTGGCAGCATTAACTTTATTCATTCGTATAAAAACGTCTTTCAAACTGTCCCGTCCCTCTTCTTTGTTTTCCTAGGCCACGAGTGACTTCTGCGTTGCCCCTGAAACGTACATCACAAAGGTGATTGATCAGTATGGAGTCATCAATCAAGGTATGAATAACATGCTAAGTGCGTGTTGCGATCGCAGTCGCTCAGACAGAAGTCCTGTTTTATGGTGAAGCAGTAAGAGGACACACGGAGGAGCTTTAGTCTCGTCCATTAGCTCATTAAAAAGCCCTGAAAATTTACTGCGGCCGGGTTCAGAGGGTGACGGGCCACCCTTTTAAACCTAACAGGAGCCTCTCTGTAGTGTCTCGTTCCAATAATTGCCCAATCTGTCCCAGGCCGGGACGGGCGCAGAGGAAAATATTGTGCCTCGGGTTCCTGTGTGAAGCCGAGTGTGCGAGAGAGATAAGAGAGGCTGAGGAGAGGATTAGAGACATTACGTTTCCTGCCTCCTCCTGTAGTTAATGGAAAAAGAAAAAACAAAACGCTTCTGCCTTAGAAAAACACTGTTTGTCTTCACTCCTCTCCACTGCTCAAATATGGAGCGTGCTAAACACATGAAGCATCGGCCGTCAGTGTTTTCCTGATGGATCCTGTGGTGTGTTAGCAACAACTTATTCTCTGTTGACTTTATTTTTCAGCTGCTTATGAAGCTGAACTATGCTCAGAATAAATATATATATACATATACATACTTTATGTATATATTTATAAAACAAGACCTTACCATTTGAAATGTGAAGATCCCCTACATGAACATTTAAAACGGCTACAATTAAACATTAAACTACAAGCCAGGTCTCTCTCCTGAGTGTGAACTTGTTAGCATGTGAAGCCGATACTTAGTAACAATCAAAGAAAAGAAAACCTTGTTTTATGTGACTATCCAAGGACAGGAACTGTGGTTGTTTTGCTGTTTTCCTTTTATTTTATTTTTTTACTGATTATTGCTTTCAGAGAATCTTTGTCCAACACGCAGGCCTTGTTATGACCAAAGCACCGGTGAGACCGTGCTGCCGCCTGTCTCAAATTTAAGTTTATTTCAGTCAAAAGCAGACGATTCATCTTCCCTTTTATGCTGCACTTTTCTCCACTGAAAATCTGCGCCGGAAATCTGACTCATTTTCAACCGTGTGGGAAGGCTCCGCACACAGCAATTTCTGTCCCCGTGTGCATTACATTACCACCGAGTGAATGTAACTGTGGCATATTTGTCACATGTTCACGTATCACTGACTCCCACTGATGGAGACTGCTGTGATCTGGAGGTTTTGAAAGTGGCTATTAGAATAATGTTAAAACCCTGAATCCAGTGGCTTGATTCAATATGTTGGACTGTTTGTAATTTGAACAAAGTTTTACCATAGGCTTTCATACAGGCTGTGTTTTTCTAGTTTTTCTGTAGCTGCTGATGTGTTTTGGCAACAGCAAATAAATAGGTGTGATAATAAGTCAGATCATTTCCCCTTTGGAGTTCAGAATACGCTCAGCATGTGCACAGTAAATGCAGCAGGCAAGGCTTTTAATGGCTGCAGCAAATAAACAAGACAGAGGGAGGAAAGGGAAATGTCCCTTCGGTGTGTCATTGCGGAGCAAAGGAAAAGAAAGCAGACACCCAGGGGAAGGGAATGCACGGTGAAGTGTGACACCAAATACAAGGAAACAAGAGTGTTTACAAAAGACAAAATACACAATATTAGAGATCAGGTTTTTACCGACTCTAATAACCCCCTGATTTACAGCGCTTTTGTTTAGAGCAATGAGCATTCGGCATCAGATTAAAGGAAGCAAAAAACAAGTCTGTTAATGAATGTGAATCCAGTCGTTACCTAATACATATATATATATTCTTCTCTGTGGCTTTTAAGAAGAAGTAGTTAAGGGGTAAATTACTGGATTGAGTGGACTAGAGTGATGTTTAATGGCGATTGGGTTAATAATGCTAATATGTTTCCTTCTCAATACACATCCACAAAAACACTTGCCGGTTTAAGTCTCCAACGAGTCGCTCTTTGCTGCTTCTCTTTGTAACAGTATATGTTTCACATGCTGGGATCAATGAAATATATCTTTGTAACAGTATATGTTTCACATGCCGGGATCAATGAAATATATATCTGTTTGTCTGTCTTTCTGTCTGATCAATCTTTAAGATATTCTATGGTCAAAAAGGTCATTATCATGACACAACATGCGGTGAGTGAGTGTGTTACACAGAAGTTCATTCATCTGTTTTGTTTTTCTCTTTCGGACTCACAGATATCCTGCAGTATTACCTCAGTTGCAGTGCGGAAAAAACAAACCCTTTCCAGCAGGTTGGTTGCTTATTTTGCTGAAAGATATTTAGAATTTTGTTGTAAAAAAGAAAGATTTGTTCCTGGTTCTATTACCTTTTTTCCTCCTTAATCTCCAGGGTAGCCTTTTCTGTTTCTCGGTGTTTATGGCACCCACCTGTTTCTAATGATATGCTGCTCAGATGCTACTGATGTTGATATGAACTTGGAGTGACACTTTAGCTCACTTTAATGGAACACATGCATTTCATGGTCCATGCTGCATGAATAAATCACATCTTTTGAGTGCTGCTTGGGTCCGGGTCGTGGTGCAGACAAAGAACCTCCGGGGTTTCAGCTTACATCTTTAAATTGCCAGGATTCATCCATTAAATCTGCAGCAACCATAAAAAAAAAAAAAAAAAAGGATCTTAGACGACATTAAAAATGAAGACATGAAATGTGCCGTTAAAGTTCTGACTCCTCCTTTCAGAAACTTTCGGCCGGTCACAAAGCTCTAGTAGAGATGCAGGATGATGTGTCTGAGTTGCTGCGCTCTGCCGCCAGAGAGTACGCACAGACTAAGGTATGTTTTTGTTTCGCTCTTTGCAAAAAAAAAAAAAAAAAAACTGGCATGTAATGACATTTCATGGTTTTGTGTTTCCTCATTCCTCTCCCCCCGGGGCCATGTGCTGTCCTGTACTATTGTAACAATTGTGATGAATGTGTCAGTAAATGGGACGAAGCAACTCACCTGCAGAGAAGTTTGGTTCACCCGTCCATACAAATATCTGATGACAACCCACCTGGGACGTCCATTATTTCTTTTTAGCTGCATTAGGTTTTCACTGGCCCGGTGCATTACTTGTCTTTCCAAAACACTTTATTGACAGAGGCACAAATGGGAGCTGACGTAGAGCACAGACACTGGCACGAAATGTGCTGAACTTGTGAAAACCTTTGTCCGTCCGAAACTTTTAATTCTTTAACGGTCGCACAACAGGATTAAAGAGAAAGGCTTTGTGTTGAAATTGTATCGTCTGTGGAGTCCTGTAATACAATATATTGTACGTACACCAGAGTTATGTAACCGTTGATTGTATTTAAACACTTTTATTTGGCAACAAAGCCTCTGAGTGTTGATCAAACTTTTGCAAAACAAGTCAGACTCTTTCTGTAAAACATAAGCTCAGAAATTTTTGGGGGGAAATAAAAAAGTTACCGTATGCTAAAACGTTTGCTTACAAAAAATAAGTTGAGTTTAAAGTACATATAAAAATGACTTGAGGCTCATATTTTTTTTTATTCTTGTCAAAAGTTTAAGTCTCAGCCAACGGATTTTGTTCTCAACATTTTATTTCCAGGGGAGTTTGGAGGAGATCCAGGGTGTCCTTAACACCACAGAGATCAGCCTGCACCAGCTTACCGCTCTGGTCGACTGTCGCAGCCTTCACATGGTGAGCAGTGAGATGAAGAACAGTAGGTGAAGCGTGGGTGGATGCCGCATGTCTGGTGGAATGAGGACCTGAGGATTGATCTGTTATGACAACTTTTGTTGTTGAAGCATCGTATGAGTCAACTTGTTTTATCTGCTCATGTTGCTGAGTACACCTGTCTTCCTAAATAACAGTTGGCATCCGGTGCGTGAGCCCTCGTCCCAGCTGATGCAGGAAAGGGGGTGGGGGGTGGTATTTATGAAGCCAGCTGAACAGTTAGTGCTTCTCTTTCACTTGGCTTTAGATGGTTTTTCCTTTTTCCTTTAGGCTTCCTAATTTAAGTGCAAAGCTTTTTTTTTTTACCCCACCACTCGTCTCATGTGTTCGCCCTTTTCTTCTTGCTCGTTTCTCTGCTCTTCTATCCCGCAAAGTCTTCCTTCTTGGAAATGAGACCGACCCAAGCGGAATATGAAATGCATTTCTGCTGTGCTGTAAATTGAAAATGGAGATCCTCAGCCGTGATAATGATCACCACGGCTCTCCATCCAAAAAAATCTAACGAAAAGTGAGCTGTCTTCCAACTGTGAGCTCATTTCTTTGACCTACTTTAAATCACAAGGGGATGAATTTTAAAGACCTAGGAAATCCACATGCTGAAATTGAAAAGGAGCAGCCCTCCCTTTTTCTTACTCGTTTGTGGTTTTTTTGATTTCTTTTCTGTTTTTTTCTTCACACCCCATTTCTTGACAACTGGTTACACAATATAGTAATACCATTAAAACTCAAATGTTCAAGCTTTGAGTTTGGGTATAAAAAAGATTCCATCTTCTTTGGTCAAGTGAGGCCAGCTTGTTTCAAGTCAGTACTTCTCAGCAGTGCCCCCCTCTTTTGTAGACGGGACTATTGTTTGCCTTTCTACAATTGACTTATTGTTTGCCCACCCCTCACTTTGGGAACCACTGTTTAAAGTAAAGCAAACTTCCCTATACCCCTTACCAACTGTAAGACCACCAACTGTCTACCATTATCTTCCCAACAAATACACCGTAGCATTCTAAAGAACAAAAGCCCTTACGCCTCAAAGACCTGGATTAGTTTATGAGGAATTTGCGGAGGAAACGATCAACTCCTGTTGCTAATGTTGAAATATATTTATGACCATTTGCAGGACTACGTCCAGGCCATGACCGGACTGTGCTACGATGGACTGGAGGGCGTCATATACCTGGTCCTTTTCTCCTTCGTCACTGCTCTCATGTTCAGCTCGATTGTTTGCAGCGTTCCTCACACCTGGCGCGGGAAGAGGTAAGACAGCCACCCTAATATTCTGGTATTTATTCTGACGTTTGTGAATAAAAAAATTAGTCTGAAGAGCCGTGAACTCAGATCTACTGATATGTTTCCTGCTCATAGACCAGCTGTGTTTACCGGGACAACTGCAGGACGCCCCTGCTGTGTTCCGAAATAGATTACTTCCTGTTGTTTCCACGCCAGCTTGTGTTGAGTCACCATGATTCTCTTTTAGTCATTGTCTGAGGGATGAAAGCGCGGTGATTTTTTTCCCCCCCTCCTTTTTATTAGCAATGCATGTTTAGTGAATGACTGTAAAGAAAGCAAATCTGTGATTGGTTCGATCTATTGCCATTCATATTAGTGAATACAAAATTGATCCTGCAAATACTCTTTTGTGACTACCATGAATACTGTATTTACTACAGTAATTAGGGATGTCCGATATTAACTTTTTCGCCGATATACATTCCGATATTGTCCAAACACCTAATTTCCGATTCCGATATGAACCTGTATATATACACCAATTCAAGAAAGCCTAGGAAACCATCTTCATGCTGTATAGAGATGAGAAGACTAGCAAATAATGGCTAAGAAAGCAGCAAATAAATCAAGAAGAATGAAAACCGCAAAGGAAAGTACAGCGTTAAATAACATAGTGTTGTAAGAATTTCCTTACAGAGACTAAATGAAATGCATCAATTGTTTCTTTTAACTACAGTGGAGACCAGGGGTGAAACTAGTAGAAGCTAAATTGTGGTTTTTGGGAGTAATGTTAATTAAATTTCTGTAATACTGTAATATAGGAAAGGGAATAGAAAAAGGAACTTGGGTTCGATTAAAAAATAAGGAAAAGTATTTGTTGTTATTCTGTTAGGCTAGAAAGATGGCCTTATCTGGCAGCCCCACACTTCCTTATATATATTTTTTTTAGATGTTTTTTTTTTCAGGTTATTAAGCTATCGCGTGACACTTTATCCTTCCTGCGGGCAAATCTGGGGGTGTGGCTGTCATCATTAAGCCAACGTGTAACGTTTGTCTTTTGAGGGTTTGTTCTGTTGTACAGTTTAATAGCTGCTTTAAGTATGTTATTCTCTCCCCTTCTTTATATATTTTAAATATTTTTATCTGTTCAGTGTATGAAAACTGATTCGTAAGCTGATGAGCTGAATGACGTCCATTAGAGCCTGAGCAGACTGCAACATGGTCAGATTTGGCTCCACGTCAATGAAGCTGCTTATCAGAGTGAGGCTTAAGGACTTCCTCTGGTGTCTTACATTTATTTTATTAATAATTTATCACATTAAACTAAGCTGTTTTGTCTAAACATATTTATGTGCTGGTTGTAGTCTGTTGTAAAATTCATTAATATGTATGGTTAGTGGAGAGTTGATGTGCAAACAATTCCACTGGTGGCTGAAAGGCTCGCACTGTACACACGAGTCTAAATGGTCAGTCAACTGGACTAAATGCCATCCAGCAATGACCTCATGCGATAGAAATGCAGGAAGTCGCCTGTGAGTGTCATCAACGCTAGAGGGAGACAATCTCCGTTTTACCAGTCTCGTCTCGTTTATCTCTCTAGTCATGTATTGTATTGGGACTTCAGTTTTACCAATAAATCCTAAGTTCATGCGAGTTTATTATTGTTTGGAAATTGTTTTGGTTTTTTTCAACCAATTCCACAAATTGATTTTTACATCCCTCCTTCACCCACTCACTACAGTTCTATTAATGTCAGATGAAATATTGTCTTCTTCACACCAAACAGCAGAGGATTCATCTCGTTTCCAGACCTTTAGAAATACAATTGAATTAAAAATCGTGAAGAAGGAAATAAATGGAAAACGTGACTATGCTGCTGTGCTGCTTTTATCATTAGAGAATTAGGACAAAGGTTCCCTCTGGTGGTGATGTTTAAAAGAGTAAAATATATGTATCTGTTTTCAGCAGTGACGAGGAGAGTGAAGATGAGTCCTTGAGCACCGGAGGAAGACAAAACCATGAAAATCTGTACCGGGTCCACATGCCCAGTCTGTACAGCTGCGGCAGCAGCTACGGCAGGGAGACCTCCCTATCTGCTGCAGCCCACA